CAGATGATGCCAAATGCCCAAATGATGCAGCTGTAAGTTCTCCAGCAATATGAGGTATTCAACTGAGATACGCAGAACTCCCATTTAGATGTAACATCCTACACCTATACGAGCCCAAAAAGACATCCTCATGACCTCATCAACAGCTGAGGCAGCAAGATACCCCCACACATGGATTTTCTCCACTGTCATTATGAGCTGTTATCTAATCTCCTTGCCTTAGGTAAGGCAAAAATGAGAGCTGCCCAGGGCTTTGGGTAAATCCTTGGCAAACAAAGCCTGAGTGTTTGCAGCTCCAGTGCTGTCAGTGTCTTGCAGGTTTAAGGATTGCACTGGGCTCTGTAGAAGTTTCAGTCACCTCTCTGGATTGCAGCTGGACACTCCCAAAACCCACAGTCCCAGCTCTGGAGTTCAGTGCAACAGGCTCAGACCACACAATATGGCTCTGCACTCCAAATAACCTCATTTGTACACAGTTCATTCTGAACCGTCGGACTGGAAGCTCTTTACCCAGTCCTTGCCTTTCACTTGCTGAAAACTCACCGCTCTACTGTGGTGCCTAAGCCCGGCTTAGAGCTTTTTCTCTGAAGTGCTGCAAGGACTCCAGTCCTTGAAATTAAGTTCTGATTTTCTGAGATATGGGTAGTGCTTTCCTGTCACTCTGCAGGATCTCAGCAGTGACTACTGCAGTCACACAGCAGAGAAGGGATTGTGCTTCTAAGAGTGGCACATCTTACAGCCAAAACCCCTCCACCAGTGCCATCCACTTGGTCAGTTCTGAGGAAACAACACCAATACTCAAAAGTGCCCCCCTTTGTTCTCAGAACAGCACTGAAGAGGAGATTGAGACATCAGGGAGGAATACAGCTCCACTTACCATTGAGTGAGACCCCAACCCGCAGTGAGTCACATCATCTAACCTGAGGTGCATGTTATCTGTGGGATCAGAGGTGGATTCCTCACAGGATCACTCCAAGCTGGCAGAAGTCTGTCTCCCTCCCCTGAATGAATACACAGGGACTCTCACTCTTCACTTGGTCACTTCAGTCAAACGCAAGTGCGTCCTTCCTGTGAAAGTAAATTGTGAGGTGCACAGGGCCTCAAAGAAGGTGCTCAGAGCTTTTAATTCCTTGAATTCTCCTTGAAACACATGATGGCCAAGGCCACAGCAGGTATCTATGTACTATTCTTAGCAGCAAAGGCTTCATGTTTGGGGGCAGAAGTGACAAGGAAGATCCTGCTGCTTCAAATACTGTGAAAGTTTTTTAGCCAAAACCATTATCCACCCATTAGTAGGGAAAATGCCATCCCTCACAGCCCTATCCTAGTTCACCACTCAGAAATGTCATCGGTTCCCCAGTGCTGCAGTAAATATTACACTTGTAGAGCTGTATCATCCTCAAACAGCCTTAGCCTACAGCAAATGCTCTGCAAAGCCCAGCTTCTCTGGCTGACTAAGCCAAAAACTGCTGAGCAGAGGTTTCCAGATCAGACCAATTGTGCTGTTAAACTGGGAGCTCTCTCTGTTCTTTCAAGTACTTGCTTTCTTCCCGGGTCCAGGTAGGGCCATTGTTTCCCTGGGCTCCTGCAGACGCCCATTGTTCCTCCGAGCTCCTGGCCTTTGATGCTGCAGAACAAAATGCACAGTGTTTGTGAAAGGAGGGAAAAACCAAAAACCTTTTCAATTACACAGTTGGTTGAACAACTTGGGCACAGCTGGCCACAGAGCACAAGGGAGCCAGCACTGCTCCACAAACTGGGGCCTCCAGCAAGGCCTCTAACCCAGTTGCAAAGTGAACCAAGAGAGGGAATGACCAGTCATTGATGGTTATTTGGTGAACTTTCATTTCATTATTTCCCAATTCCAAATGCTCCTGGATTGTAGACTTCCATGAACCTCCTCACACACATATTTAGTAGCTGCCAGCTGGAAAAAGGTGGAAATTATTCCTGCTTCATCCTTCGGCATTGCTTGGAAATGGCCCTAAGATTCACTCCCTCCATTTCCACACTAATGTGGCTGATGGGGCTATCTCAGCCTCAGTGGCACAGCACAACAGAGAGAGGTCTGAAATTGTGAGGGTCTTACAAGGAGGTCTGAAGTGCACTGGCAGGGCCATGTGGAAGGAGAGCCAGCAGGCTGGGATGCCCCTCTCACAGCTGCAAAGTTGTTTCAGGGTCCAACTGGGGGCAGAAGTGACAAGGAAGATCCTGCTGCTTCAAATATTGTGAAAGCTTTTTAGCCAAAACCATTAGTAGGCAAAACGCCATCCTCCACAGCCCTGTCCTAGTTCACCACTCAGAAATGTCATTGGTACAGAAATGTCAAGGGTACAGAAATGTACCCTTCAGGTCCTGCTATGCAACACATTGTTCCTGATACTGCAGGGGTTTGGGCAAATGCTGTGCTCTACCTTGTGTTCAGTATGCAGCTGTAAACATTTGCTCTTACTGCAGAGATGACAGATCCCAGGATGTCACAGATGTGAGGGGTCTCCTAATCCATCTGGGTCTGTCACTTCAGTCCATGCTAGTACGTTCTGCAACAGAGTAGGCAGCAGCAAGAAGGGAGCTCTCTGGAAAGGTCAATCTATGGGAAAAGCTAATAAAACAGTAAGAAAACACTTGCACAAAACAGGGTGGCCCAGCCGGGTCTTCCTGAGACAAAGGCACTCACACTCTCTTTTACAAATATATTTTATTATTTGAATGCTTATTAAGAAATGTAACCAAGACAGACTCAGCAGCACTGGTGGCTCCTCACTGCCCAGCAGTCTGACGACTTCACAGATATGAAAACTTCACAGATTGACAAAAAAAACCCCTTTTGGTCAATGCACTTTAAATACATTTGCATGCACAGGTTCTCCCACCCCCTTCCCTCCCCTCCCACTGGTAACTGACAAACAGGGAAAACAACAACTATATTCATAAACCATTTAAATTAAAAGAGTAATTGTTTTATAGTGACAGTGTGTGCAGCAGGGTGTTCATAGTGTCTCGGTTTGCAGACCACAGAGACAACCGCTCCACAGGATGAGGGCAGGAACACCAGCTCCTGAGACAGAGTGGGAGAAGCAAAGGATGGACTCAGATCAACAGGTTCCAGTCTTGATTTTAACAGTCCCAGCAGACAAATAAGACAGGGAGTTACACACAACACTGCCCCAGTCTAGGGATTCTCAGTCTGTCAGGGTTAGGCACCTCTCATGCAGATAAGGAACTGGTGTGATTTTCCTTCTTCTGATGTGTTTTACTGTAAAGAAGGCCAAAAGCTGAGGGCTAGAAAGACAAAACTCTGGGATGACTCAGTGCAGTGTGAGTCCCAAAACAAATTGGGAGAGAACTGACTATGAGGCAGCTAAACATAGCAAAGACCACTAAAGAGTATTCTACAGTTCTGATGCATCACAGCACTTACAGCAGGCTTGTCCTCCCCACAGAACACGGCTGGATTGATTTGGTTTTAGGTAGGGCTCATGTTCATGAAGCAGAAGGGGTTTTGTTGCACCCGGACACAGTCATGAAATGTGACAGTGTCTCTGAAAGGGAGGTAATCCACAAGAACTGTCTCTGCCTTGGTCACTAACAGACCTTACGAATTGAACCCTCCGCATGCACCCGGTAAGGCTGACTCTCTGTACTGACCCCCGGAGAGCTCTAAGACTGTACACCCTTTCCAGAGTCCTTCCTCAGCAAGTCCCACCTTGGTCTCATGCCAGTGCCATCTGGGCCATCCGCAGCACCTCCCAGCACATTCCTGCTCCCCTGAAATCCTCCCAAACATCTCCCCTACAAATCTCCCTTCACCACCAAGATTTCCCATCCATTCTAACCCTCCGTTCTGTTCCCACACCTCAGAGACTTTTCTGTATCCACCAGCATCTGCTGGAGCCTCTTCTCAAAGAACAACCAAAGATTCAGACTCTGCCCCATGTAACTCCCAAGTCCATCTGCACAATAAGCTTCTCAGCACCAAATGAGACCAGTGGCAAACCTTTTTTGTCTACGCTAACCCCAGCTGTCTCACCATGCCGAATTGTTTCTCCGTTCAAGAGCTGCAGTTCAAGCTTACACAGAGCTTTGAAATACCACTGATCCAAATGAAGCCCTGCAGGACAAAGCTGTAAGTGCACTTATTTGCACACACAAAACCCAGCGTCTTACTGAGGAGGGGGCCCCAGGAAGAACTCTTGATAAAATTACTCCTGGCAATTGATCAAACTTTACTTTCTCTGAAACCCTGTAAAACAAATAAACCCTGGAGCCAGAAGTCTTCAGGGAATGGTGAAATTCGTGGACTCAATCACATCAAATGAGGCATCACATCTCTCTGTGGATCTTCAGCCACTTTTAGTAAGAAGCTCCAGTTGAATGGAATCAGTTTCTCCATACCCCAGCTCTTACTCTCTGGACCCACTGAACCTTGGATTCCCAAGGAAGCCTCCAGCCTCTCCTGATAAGTCACCTCACTCTTCCCTTTGTCTTGGTACCATCTTTGTTTATCCAGAAGAGCTGTAGTTCATCAGCTAAACATTCTCCAGCTGGAAGAAGAATGGGGATGAGTGGGAAAAAAACATTCCATTTTTCTACTGATCCCTGTGCAGTTTGGAAGACAGGTACTTTCCAAGAGTGGAGAACGCTGCCAGAAGAGCACATTTCATTGATGGGACCGTACAGCTCTTTTTCCTTTTTTCCCTTAAAAAACCCCAACTAAACAACAAAACCCCCAAAAGCAAGCCTTGCAATGGTGATCCCCACTGCACTTCCTTCTGCACGCATCCCCTGGCCCCTTCACACACCCTATTCCTGTCAAATCTGCATCACTAATATTGAAAGGGACACAGCCTGTAGTGCAATTGCCATCCCTTCCTTCCTGTGACAGCAGACTCCCAATGCTATATATAACATGCTGCCTCCTTAGCCCCACTGCACTTCCTTCTGCACATCTGGACACACCCTTCAGTCAAATCTGCATCACATGGCAATCTGGTTCACACAACAACAGAAAAGCTAATTTCAAGACATCTGGAAATTCAGTAAGCTTACATGGCAATCTGGTTGGGCAGGCAAGTTTTCCAGAGTGGCAATCCTAAATTTGTCACATCAACATAGATCAACTTGATTCTCGTGGCAACAAAGCAAGAAGCTGCCATAATTGAGTGTGAAGAAGCTCAGGAAACAATAGAAAGCAAGCAACCCACATCAGCTGTTGAAAGTCTGATGCAATGTGGCATGAAACATCTCATTACAATGGCATCTAAAGCTCAACAGGGGACACTTCTGCACTCGTGTGTGTTCCAGCACATAAGTGATGCTGGTATTTTCCCACACTTCCTTTCCTGCTCTGCTTCTTTGTGGACCTAATTGTTATTGACATGAATACCGGATGTAATCTTGTGTTATTCTTAGAATCATTTCAGCTCCCAGCTGAGGCCTGGAGAGATCAGACCCCCATTTTCCTGACTGAGTTCCTCTGCCACTGTTACACAGGAGGTCAGAGGAGCCATCCCACAAATAACCTACAGAAATACCCCATGCAGAAGCACCAAGAGGAACAAGATCCCAGGTCACCCTACAGAGGAACCACCTACAATGTCAGTCCTGGGGAAACGGCTTCGTGTGTGTTAATGGTGCTGGAGTGATAATCCACTCCCCTGACGTCAGACTACGTAGAAGAGCCGTGCCAAGAAAGCAGCAATTCAATTAAACTGTAAAGTCAATTGTTCTACAAATTTACCTGTCTTTCTGCTAAGGGTTGTGGTGGCAATCCCATCTTTTTGTCCATCTCTTGTGCTACCCTGGAGCAGTTACGTACTTGAGCACATTTAGCACTATAAACTATTCTCCATCTTCATGTAGGGACACTGGCAAAAAGAAAATTATCCTCAAATAAAACTGACTTTTCATTTTAATAGTTCACAATATATAAAACAAACATCGAATAAGAACACACAAACCTAACCTGCTCTTCCTCAAATATCAAAATCCAGTTCCCCTACCCTTTCTGCAAAAGAGATTATTTGGCTTCTGAAATGTTAGCTGACGCATGTGAGGAGGAGCCAGGTTTGGGGGGTGATATTTCTGATGTTTTCAGCCAGGGAATAAGCTTCAGATCCCTGGAATTAGTGGACTTTTCATTTTCCAGTAGGACCATTACCACCAGTCTCTCTCCAGAAGGCTGGTGGTATTAGAATGTGAATTATTTGTCTGGAGAACAAAACCAAGACAATCTTTAGGTAGAATTCAAGCTGAACGTAGCATTCTGCTGTCCTTAGGGTATAAAGCTTCATAAATGATCCAGAAAATTATCAACCTGCTGTGAAATACCCCTACACCAAACCACACCAGTGCATACATTTGCTGCACCATGAATTTGCCTGTTCTCTTACACAGGAGACTGCAGTTCCTAAGCTGGTTTCCTCTACTACCGATGTCTTTCAGCTTCTCAGAGTAAAAGCATCTTCTAACCAAACAGACCCACTTCTGTTGGCCTCTGCACCACAGGGACACATCAGGCTTCACAGTAAAGCACTTGAGGAAAAAACTGAAATCACAGGAGAAAAGGTGTTTAAATAGAGCTCATTGGAATTCAAAAAGTAAGCGTTAGGTAGGTGTGTGTGTTCCTCCCCACCCCAATAAAGAAGATTACACAGCCTTTTGAGTGAGGATGAAAATGAACAAAGTATGGGAAATCAGCTCCCCTCACACACATCTGGAGCCATGGCAAGAATGTGCATTCTAGGAGCTCAAACACAGAGATGGGGTGGGAAGAAGCAGACAGTGCCCACCAGCCTACAGACAGCTCACACACCTCGAGGCATGACCACCCTGGTGACGCAGACCACAACCTGGCCTGTTTGCCTGCTGTCTGCAGCACCAAGTCCTGCTAACAGCCCTTTTGCTAAGGGAAATCCATATTACAGACTCCGTTTTCCTTATTTACTAAACAAAGTAGAGAGCTGTGAGTTTATTTGCCTTGTGCATCTGGAACGTCGAGCGCTCAGGGAACGGATATGAGTTCTGGCCCATCTTTTATAACTTAACATAGAAGTAATCTTATCAAGACAAGGAAAAAAATACTCAAGCAACCTGTTGCAGTATAAGCTTTAAAAACATGAACTGAAGGACAAAATGCCATGGTTGAAGGTATCCAAAGTTCCCATCAGGTAAATTCCTTCTCTCTCCAAGCAGCTGCTGGCATCCTTCCTGACCGACAGATGTTGCTATCCCCCTTGTGTTTGTTGCAGGGCCAAAGTACTGAACGGCCCCTTCCCTGCTGCTCTTCATAGTTCAGTGAATACTTTCAGGCACACTTTTATTCCTGCTGGTAAAGCCAGCAAAACTGACATACAACCACAGGTACACAGTACAGCATAATGTCATAATATGCCCTGCATCAGCAGGGTCTCCCAGTGCTGAACTTGGAATGCCATCTTCGACCTCGGCACTGCTCGTGGTGACAGGTCATTGATGGGTAACGCGTCCCTCCTTCCTTAGTCCATTTCAGTGGTATCTTGGCTTTTCTCCAGTCTAGTATTTAGGATCATCCCAACAGTCCTGGGGAGGGACCCCTTTCTCCACAGCAATAGAGATTCACACCTCTCCCCCCGCCCCCCCCAACCTCCCTTTCTGCCATGGCAGAGGTCACCAATGGGAAAAAAAAAAATCATTCTACCAGGAAGACTTTGCAAGTCTCATCAGGAAACATCAGCTGCTGCCAAGGCTGCTCTTTCCAGATCTGAGTAAGACACCTGGGCATCAAGTAGCTCTTCACTGTGCAGCTCCCTGCTCATGCACACATCTGAAAGAATCCCATTTTTGCAGGAATGTAGCAGATGACCATTTGTCTCCATGTCCAGAGCATTTCCATTCTGGTGCCAATCCAAGCCAGCTTTGCATTTGTTTAGGTCCTGCTTTTCAGGATCCCTGTGGATCTCTCCATTGGTGTATACCTCTAACGCATACTCACTGATTCGTATGCTGGCGTTCTCCGCGTCCCCACCGTGAGTGGAAGTCCTGGAGCTGGCTGTTCCTGCCTTGAATGGCTCCTTCCTGCCCAGGATGTGCTGGCTGATGATTTTACGGAAGGTGTATCGGAACTCCCTGATTCGGTAGGCATAAATTAGAGGATTTACAACCGAGTTGGCATGAGACAGGATAATAGCCAGATACATCAGCCAGAGGGGAGCATGAGCACAATTTGGGCAAAATAGGGTAAAGCAGTTAATAATATGCAGTGGAAGCCAGCAGACTGCAAACAACCCAACAATGATGGCTAAAGACTTGGCTGCATGGACTTCCTTCTGCAAAGTAGAGCGAGAACGTTCCCCATGTACCATCTTGTTCTCCATCTGCTTGAGCTGTCGCCGGGCTGCCATGAAGATTTTCAAGTAGATACCAAACATGATGAGTAGGGGCAAGAGCACACAGGCAAAGAAGTTGTAGTAGACCATGTACTCCATGGTGACCACAGCCTCAAAGAGACATGCCACCATACTGTTGCTGCAGTTGATGGGAGAGGACTTGTTGGAACCCAGCTCATCGATCTGGGCACGATTGTGCCACCCTAGCATTGGTGTCAAGCCAATGATGAAAGATAATACCCAGCAGATGGCAATGATACCTTTAGCTCGAGAGCCAGTCACCAAGCCATTGTACCTATAAAGCAGAGGAAATGGGAATTACATCAGTATAATTCAACAAGCCCCTGACATTCATACAATTTCCCAATGGCCCAGAAGACACAAGACAGCAAGAAAGGCACCTGCTTCTTCAGATGGGCCCTCGAACTGCCATGCAGAACCCACGCAGCAGAGCACAGCAAAGACTCCATGGTGATGTATGCCACCTACTTCCCTCCCCTTTCCTTTAGGCAGTGAATATGTGACAGAAAACCAGGGAACTTAATACAGTTTTCATCTGTGTTTCTTCATCAGCCCACTTGGTCATGCACATACATCTTGCAGCCTGAGCAATCAACAGCACTGTCCTGACCCTTAGTGATGAAGGCCACCATGGCCTTCTTGCCAAAGTCTGAGATAGTTCCTCCTTTCTGGCAAAGGAGCAGGCTTTTAGCATAGAACTGCTATGCCTGTCTTGCAGTAGATCTGCAAGCCAAACAGCACAAAAGAACCTGGAGGCACAGCCACTGGCCCCATGTCCATGGGCAGGTGTGCTCCAGGGAAATTCTGCTGACTCAGCAGCAGAAGCCAGGCTGGCATTGCCTCTCACAACACCTCACTCTGCTCCACTATGGCACTTTCAGGAAGGCCAGCACCGCCAACCTTCCTGACACAACTGAGACAAGTCAGCAGCGTCCTCATCAGCCCAGCTAAGAGGACCCCAGGCATTTCTCAGAAAGGACTTAAGCTGAGTGCTCTGACTACAGGTGTTCTGTGGGCTGCACTGCACACACCAAAGGAGACTTCAGTGGTGGAGGTATTAGTCTGTTGAAAGAGGCAATAAGCAACATGGCAAGAATCTGACAGTACAGGGAGGGACCTCGGTTTGTTTGCAATATCAGCCAGTTCCCAAGGCCTCACAGGTTACTGCGAGTCCTGAGCTGACTCTACCAGTTCTTCTCTCTGAAAATGTAAATCAGGGCAACAGTTTATTTCAATGCACTTTCCTTCCCTTGGTAATGCTTAACATGGAAAGTAGATGGCTGGATTCCCACATTGTCCAGTGTGGGTCCCACACTGTACTTGACCCCATGTGTCTGCGATCGGACAACAGTAGCGCAGGGCTCTCAGTGTTTACCCAGTGCTCCTTCTCCCTCTGTCCCCAGAATTCTCTCAGCAAACAAACATCAAAAATAAAATAATCCAACAAGCCACAGAAAACTTTCCATCTCTCAATGAAACAGTCACTCCCACAGGTTCATGCTCCTACCCCAATGCAAGTTCAAGACAGGGGAGGAGAGAGGCTGCTTTTGCTGGACACAGTACAGAATGGAGATCCTGCATGTGCTTTAAAACCCTGCTGATGGGCCTTGGGGGAGATACAGACTCCACACAAAGCCTGGCAGGCTTGAGTCTCCCTTCCCTGGTTGCATTTCAAAATCAGAAAAAGGAGTGGGTGATGGAGCCAACCACAATTCACAGTATCCAAAAATACCGAAACCCTCTTCCATAAATAAGGGAGGAATTTCAGCTGATTCTGAGAGATAAAAAGCTTTCTCCAGCAAGCAGTGGATTCTGCTCAATGTCTAGGGGATGCTAAGGGCACAGCATTGACAGTAGCAGGGGGCTGATCGCATTCAGACCTCAGCAACGCAGCAGAACAGCATCTGCGCTTTGAAAAGTACACTCAGGGAGCAAGAGCTTGGCTGAAGGCACTTGAAGCTTGGAAAAAAAACAAACCAAAAACCCTCAAAACCCTGAAGCCCTGGAATTGGCTGCATCTTGTCAGAGGAATTTTGAAATCGTGCAGCTGTTATCCCACGACTAGAGATGTCCCTTCCCTTCCACTAAAAATACATTCATTACTGCTCCAGGCAAGCACCCCCCAACTTGTCCCTCCCTCTTCCCCTCTGGGGAATCCCATGCAACAAACTTTACAAGGCTTAGGAACAGCACTTAACCCAAGCAGCCTCCTGCTTTCCAGCTGCAGTGTATTGTGTTGGCAGTGGCAATTGCCAGCCTACCAGAGAGTGCATTTCCACAACACCCTGCTCAGTATCTCCAAGGGTTAAGAGAGAAAGCTCACAGCACCTCATGATGTAGCACTACATTGGACAGGAACACACTGAGAAATGTTAATGTGTTTGGGAAAGCATAATTTCTAGCATGCGCAGGGACACCTCTGGCTGACTGAGGGAGGGTTATTGTCCAGGCAGACTTCCCTGGACTCATTCCTTTTGTCCAGTTAGAGATGTCTGAGAGACACTGGAGAGTTCATGTACCTGTCTCAGCATCTTTCTAGGCTCACAGCAGCCAGGCCAAAGCTTGTCTCTGTAAGCTCAGTGCTGTACAGCTCTACATGGCAAGTTCAGGGCTTGCAGGAAGCATCACATACACTGTGAATTGCTGGCACCTATGCAGGAGACAGCCTGCTGCAAGGAGCTGGTCACACCTACAGCCCATGTTCTGCATAGCTGGCAGGTGACTTTGTAGTGTGTCTGATGTGTCCAGACAGCACTGGATTGTCCGTGCACAAGCGGTTCTCGTGCTTCCTGGAAATACTGGACTCGCTATGCAAACAATGACTTATCCTCGTGAAATTCCAGACACAAAGAACATCAGTGCAGAGCACAGGGATGCTCACAGTGGGGCTGGGTCACCTGACTCCTCTAGAAAACAAACCCCACTTCTGCAAACACATTAAATTGTGGATGTTTTCCCCAAAATAATTTCACCTGCCCTGCTGCTCTTCCGGCCATCAGCCTGGCAAACTGCCTCCAGGAGCACAACTGCCCTTGGTGCATGAACAGCTCAGCAGTGCTGCCTAGAGTAACTCAGCTGAGGATGTGATGCTGCTGGGTCCTTGTCAGCAGGATTCCTTCACAAAGTGTAGCACCTCGCCAGTCCGATTCACGAACTATGAAGCTGGGTGGAAGGCAGAGCTGGTATAAGAACCACAGTTAACTCAGGTAGGAGTTAAAATCATTCCATACATTGCACGATATGTAACTGGCCTAACTCTTTGTCATGGCATCCAACCAGCCAGCTGCTTGTCTTCAAACCCAGCTCTGGCTGACAGCACTGCACATCCTGACCAGACGGCTCTGCCATGCATGGAGCATGTTTCAGCCACCATCAGCACACCACACCAGAAAGCCTGTGCTGAGCACTGAGGGCGCTGGGCTTTGATCTGAATCCCAGCAGTGCTCAATGGGTTTCAACAAATCACTACAAAACACCATTCACTGGGTGCATCCACTCAACAGCCCCCACCTTGGGAGCTGCAGCCATAGGGGCAAGACAACAGGAGGATATTCTATCCCTATTACATGCATCTGGAAATGACAGACACTGACAACCCCAGCATTGCCCAGGAAATCTTGTGGCAGAGCAAGAAGCCAAACCCAGACCTTCCCATGCATCACCTAAACAATCCTTTCCCAAAAGTCTCAAGAAACTTCCTGCCCTATTACCAGGTGCTGTGTAGGCTATGAAGACAGTGTAGAGTTGGATCCCAAAGGTGGACATAGGGCTGTAAACTCCAGAAGCAGTAACTGTGGGCAGGCTCCACTCTTTTGCCCAAGGCACAATCAGTTTCCAGACTAAAAGCTTGGAAACAGTAAGTTCCACTGTGGCCCATGAAGCCGCAGACAACTGGCAGTGCTTTCAAAGCCATGCCCATGCTTGTTCAAAGGAGGAAGTAAATTACTCTTCTTTCAAATTAGGCTGAATCTGCCCATGATCTATTTGACATGAATGAAAAAAGGAAACACTTGTCATAAAGTCAACAGGTTTATGGTGAGCAGGGAAAGAAATAAGTCCAGATATGGCTCAAAGAGATAATAAAACTTGAAATCCCTGATTCACTGATTCAGATGTTCGTATATGAGCATTTGAGAAGGCAACCCTAGAGAATTAAAGCAATGGCTGAAACAGACTGTTGTCAGCACGAAGGTCCTTTCCATGTCCTATATTTCCATGTCCTATTCAGGGTTTGCGTTCATCTCCCCTATTCTACCTACCCCAGACTCTGAGAAGCCAGTTCTTCATGTCCATCATCCCCAGCCTCTGGCAGAAAACATTCCAATGCCCCCTCAGAGCTGTAGTTTCAATCACCACTACATGGGATAAATCTGTCCCAGTGTTCCATATGACAGGGAGCTGCACCTTAGTAACGCTTTCCTAGAGAGGCATCCCGGCAGCTTAGGCAGTCATCTCCAAAGCAGCTTTCATCAGAGGAAAAGGTCTGCACTTCAGCAAGTTACTGTAGTTGGCACTGTATGACCTACATCAGTATGTAGGCCACAACACCTGAATCCAGCACACTGAGCAGGCAGTAACCTGAGAAAACTTTTCCGTCTGGCTGCAGGAGGAAAAACGCCTCCCCTCTCCCCAGTGCATCGGAGCTACCTGTCCTTCACCATGGGAGTATCCTTACCATAGATGCCTACACCAGAACACGTGGCTGGGCACTGTGCCCATGAAGCCTTTGCTGGTACTAAAGAGCCTGGAAAGTGGCAATTGTTTGTGGCCTATGACTTCATCCTGCAGCTCAAACTTGCAGCCGGTTTTGTTCAGAGCACCCAGGGGGTCTGTATCAGTGAGCACAGATTTCAGGTTAGAGACATTTCAGATCTTATCCCAGACCCAGCAATGGCTCACACTCACTTCCTTGGCAGTGCTTTTTGTGCCACGTGGAGAGTGTTACCTTCATATAAAACATGGCAGAATTCAGCAAAGGGTTTGAGAACTTGTGGAAAGGTTATGGAATTCCATGTTTGAATCATCTGAAAGGCAGAACACATGAGACTTGCACAAATTAGATTTAACGTATTGTTAAAGTTTACATATTGATGTCTTTTCTCACTGCAAGTTTTGGGGAGAAGGTCTTTTATCCACAGAAAAATCATTCCAAAGGCAACTGATTATGAAACGAGGTGTCCAAAAACCCAAGCAGAATCATAAATCCCACACTTCTGCCTCCTTAATGCCGACAGATTATTTGTGTGGGAATACACATCCACAGAGGTATCCAGAGACATGTGATTACCTTCCTTAGGACAAACCAAACATGAAAGAGTTAAAAAGAACTAGAAAATATAGGTTTGACTTTTTTGGTTTCACGAGAGTGAAGGAAGTCTGTTTTATTATTTTCTTAGGAGCATCCATCTAATGAATATTAGGAATGCCTGGTGTTACCTTTCTTGTCCTCTGAAGGGGAGAGAAGAGGCTTTCCCAGGCATTAAATGACGGAGTGAAAACGTTCCATCTTTAGCGGCAGGACTTTCCTTCCACTGGTTTGACTCATTTTTGAGACAACCGGATAAAGGACGTGAGCAATCTAAGTCATCCCACATCTCCCTCTTCAGCTAACCAGCTTTCACTTGCTCAGCATGTCTGAGGCTATACATTTAATGCTTATTCATCCATAAAGCCTTCAGGGGAAACACAATTGACAAGTTCTCCACTCCTACTGTAAAAGGAGAAACCTGTGGAGGACAAGGAGGAGAGGAACCCATGGATGTACCTGTGGGTTTCTGCATCCAATCAGCTCCACTGTTCCCGGGGCAGAGGAAGGTGTGTTCTGTTATGTCAAAAACAAACCAGCAAACCCAGTAGGGTGCCCGGCACTGATCGAGTCTGGTTTTTCTAAAGGACTCTTCACCTTGGCTATTCCAGGAAATTAAATTTCAAGACAAGATCATTACAGTGATACAGCCAAAAATGGGCAGAAATCCAGATTTTAAAATCCTTTTCCTGGTAAGTCATCCTCTAGCAACAAGAGCGCTTAAACTGTCCACAAAAGCCCTCGGGGTTAGCTCAAGGGGGAGGAATTAAAGACATCAGCCCTTCTCAAAACCGTTTCAGAGGCAAGCTCCCAAGTACTCTACATATGGTTATATGGTTATTTGTGCCATTTATCAATACATTTGTTTATAAACTGAAACTACAGAAAAGTGGAGACAGTTTGATTTATAGGTAACTAGTATCAATAGAGTTTTCTCTGCAATGGAATGGTCATTCCTGACAACTACATCAAAAATAGAGGCTGTGACAGGTACAGCTCCAGGTTTGGAACCTGACAATTAATGGTAATATTCCAGCAGCCCAAGCTTGCTGAGGCTAGGCTTCAGGAAAGGCTACACTGCCCTGGTCCACATGGAAAGGTAATTTCTGCAGCTTTAGGGAAAAGAATACTTTCTCTTTTGGAATGGAGGGTTTGTGTTAATTGACATAAGTGCTGGATGACCAAAGTATTCACAAGAGACAAAACTAAATTGCAGAGGTCAGCACAAGTGAATTAAGCTCAACAGGAGTGAGCATGTCCAAAGCCTCAAACTTGAGAGCACAATAATCAGAAATTTGTTCCATTTTTGCAGCCACATTTGTTGTTAAGGATAGGAAGCAAGTCTATCCATTCCTGACAGTGGGCTGCATCCTCCTAAGGGCAAAACAGGAAGGAAGGAGACTCCTACACTGTGCCTACACCAGCCTCTCCCGGGGCTTCCTCTACATCTTTCAAGCTTACTGAATGACTTGGAAGCACTGTCACACAGCATTCAAACCCAGCCCACAAAATTAAATGCTGCTTCACACCCACGGTCAGATATATCCCATCACAGCACCGTGCTTCTGGAACACTGAACTGAGTGGCAGCCCCTGTGCGTGTGGTAAAACTTCCCCTTGTCCCTGGCTGCACACAAAGTAGCAGCTAGTCATATTCAGCTTTCAAGCTCTAATACTGGAATGTGCTTTTCTTCCTTTAAATGCCAGAGTAGACACCACAGAATAACCATCTGCAGGTCTGGTTAGGGACAAGCCTCTGCCTTGACCTAATAACGCTTGTTTCCAGAGGCAGTGCCTAAGCTATTTCAGATCCTCCTAAGACCCATTTCTTCATCGCCTGCTGCTTCTCCTCCCTTCACATTTAACAAAACCCCATCCACACTCTCCACAACCTGCTATGGCTGCAGGCAGAGTCCCACTCTCCCCATGGGGAAGGAGACAAGTTGTCCTCACCCCCTTTCTGCCCCCACCATGCACTGCTTTAGCTCCACTTTCCCCCAGGGATCCTTCTGGTGCTGCTGGCTGCAGCTCAGAGCGCAGGTTGAGGTTACTGCATGATCCTGTTTAAATTGGGAATGGCAGCTCCTAGGCAGTGCAATGCAATGCCATGAGCATACACCATATGAGAGCAGAGAACTGGAAAAAGAAGCAACCAGAAGATCCAACAACCAAGGCAGCCTTCAAGACCTAGAAAAGTGGGGGCTTTCTTTCAAATTACAAGAGAAAAAGTGCTGATCCTCAGTTAACTTTTCCTTCCCCAGTTCATCTCCAGATGTTATTACTGTGTTCATCCCTCACCACCCCAGCCCCACCAGCCCAACCCGTGCTTACCTGAGGGGAATGCGGATCGCAATGATTCTGTCAATGGCAATAGCAAGGAGGCTGAAGATTGAACTCTGTGTCAAGACCAGGACGAAGCAGGCAATGAAAAGACAGCCATAGAAGAAGGCACAGAAGCCAGTGCTGATGGTGATGGCAAAGGGGATTGCCAGCACACCCACGGCAATGTCAGCAGCAGCCAGGGACACCACAAAATAGTTGGTGACGTTCTGCAAGTTGCTATTCAAATAGACTGCCCAGCAGACCAGGATGTTCCCCAGGATGGCCAGCACTGCAATGATCAGTTCCAAGATGATATAAGCTATGTCTGAGAGGAAGTCTTCTTTCCCATGTACTAGCATGGTGAGAACGACCAGGCCAATGTGAGAACGTGCCAGAAAAGCTCAGCGTTCATATCTGCAGAGCACTGAACAGTCGAGATACCTCAAAGGTGCCTTCGGGTCTGAAGGGCGCTCAGCTGCCAGCTGGTGAAGGTTGCTCACACATCCCTTTTCTCCCCATAGCTTTTGAAGTTCTTTACAGTAGCAGGTGTCAAGAAAAATTCCCAGGGTTTGCCAGCTCCAGCAAAGTGGGTTAACCAGATGCAGAACAATTCAAACTCCAGCAGATGAATGGACAGGAGAATATCTCACGTAGACATACACTGGTTCCCAGGCCACACAGTCCAGCAGGCAACAAGACACAGAAAGTGTATTGTATGGCACCATCACATCAGCTATGGCTTTTTGTTTCCTGTTGACAATCACACTGCTAGTCATGGCTTCCTGTCATGTACATACCTACTAGCAACATCCTCTGGTTCCCTTCTTCACCTTTTCCCACTAGGACCTGGGAAATATTCTCTTCAGCTGAAGGAAACATTCAACTTCTTCACTTGTCGTTTCCTTTAGAAAAAGAAAAAAAACACAAAGAGCAACCACACACGCTAAGTAATCAGCTCCATGGAGGAGATGGAAAAAGCAAAATCTCATTAAAGTGGCACATTAAATTGATAATGGATATAAAACAGACCTAGAAGAATACATCATTGGCAAAAATCTCACATTCTTGTCTCTCCTGAAAGCTGCAGGGCCAAACCCAAGGTTCAGGAAGGCAGTAAGTCATTCACAGCGCTGATGAGAAACAAGGGACGTTTTGTTTTCGAGGCTACCAAGTGAGCTGGCTCTTGAGCAGCTGCTCAATAGTCTGCCCTGAAACATGAGAGCCCCACTAATGATGCCTTGGCAAGTGCTGTGGCTGTATGAAGGAAAGGTGGAGGAGCCTTCTCATGCACACCTGCCTCCCATGACCCAACACAAAGACCTGAGCCATCACGTGCTGCCCACCCTCACGTGCTTTGCCCTAAAAGCACACTGCTCTGCGGTGACACAAACCTTCATTCATAAGGTGGCTATGTTGCTGGCATGTGTGGTCACCACTCTGCTGCCATACCCAATCTCTCCTCCAAGTGCAGGAAGGACACTGGAACGTGATCAGCGCCAGGGAGAATAGTTTGAGGTATGTCAGATGGTGACACCTCTGAGGACTTTCCTGCTGAGCACACGCACTCCCTGCAAGGGTCTCTGCAGGTTCCCCTCCTGCAATACCATCATTTTTGTTCAAGTAAGTTTTCATTCTATGAGGAAGCCATTTATTCGTTATACCTGCATTGTCCATAGTGTTTGTTGCATCCACAGATTCAAGTCAGCACCTACAACCAGCCAGAAACACACCCACCAAGATACACTTCTCCCAGAAACACACATAGGCACAATGTCAACATCATCTCTCAAGTATGCATTCATGTTCCTGCAGCATCATGCGCACAAATCTGGGATTAAAGCTGTTGCTGCTTCAAGGAAACACAGTCTCTAGAGCTGCCATTTCATAGGAACCGACAGACATCACCTACATGCTTGCATGTCTTACACACTTATCTTGCAGGTCACCTCATCCCTCTGCTTTCAGATACAGATGAATTTCATCAGTTTCAGCTAAAGTATAGCAATGGAGAATACAGTTCCCTCAGCTTTGTGCCACAATCAAGAGATAATTATATGCTGTCCTACCCTGTCACTTCCTGAGTGGGTTCTAAACCTTATTTAGAAAGCTTTAGCAGTAATATTTTCTCATTAATTTAAAAACCCACAGCTACTTGAAACGTCAGAGAGCTGGGGGAGAGAGGGATACAGGACTAACCCATAAATCACTCAAACTCAGGTTCAGATGCAACATGAACCTCCAAACCAAAAGGTTTTCAGGACCCCAACCACAGGTGATCTGGTGTGGTCTAACCCAGCAGGGTTTCATGCCTTCACAGTTCACTCTGTTTTTGAGTCAGGAACCTAATTTGTCAGGAGAAAATAAAAGGGTAAAGACAGTGATAATAAAAGAAAATATGATTAACTTGTGATTCACATCTGATCTCAGGAATATAACCTAATTTTAGACCTTTCATTGATTTAGAGCTCTATTGCTAATGCTGCATTTGAAAGGAAAATGAATGATTCTTGGTGGTTTGGGTGTGCTTCAAAACCTTAGCCTTTCCTCCACCTTCAGCAATCTTGTTTATGTCCTTTGTGTGGTTTGTGTGGAAGAAATCAACAGAAGAGTTGTGATCTGGCTAGTAAGAGGATAAAGATTGTCTATTTAATCTTTCCCAAAGAAAAAAAAAACAACAAAACCCCCCAAACCAGCCAACCCTCCATATTGTCTATCTTCCTTTAGCAAAACCTCCAGTTTTCCACTGATCTCCTAAAGATTACTTATACTTCCCCGAATTTCAGGGGTGTCAGTGATATGCTGCTACTCTGCAAGCATCAAAATGTCCATTATAAATCCCAATAGATTTGTTTCAAGGCAGAGATAGTGAAAACCTCCCTATGAGCGTGATTTCCAGGGAAGTGGATTAGAATTAATGTAAGATAGAAATAAAGAAAAGCTGGAGGGAGAGAAAAAGGAAAGGGCAAGATGAAAAATAAACAATGTTCTGTGCATGTGTGTGCACAAAAAAAGGGGAAAAAGAAGACAGGAAAAAGCTGTTAGGAGAACAAAACCCCAACAAAACAAGGGAAGGAGTCCCATGTCCCTTGGCATCATGGCAGCAGAGACAGCAACAGGGAGTGGACAGCAATGGAGCAGGGAGTGGACACTTCCCCACTTCCCAACATGCTCATGTTTCCATGCAGGTCAAGCTCATGACCAAACTCCAGTGTCAGAACAAGCTTAATTAAAATTAACAAATTACTGTGACATACTGGGGCCAAACCCACTGCTGTGTAAAGTAAACCCACCACAAACACCTCCACAAACTACTGAGATGAAGTCAAAAGAACTGAACAAACCATTTCTTGAAAGGACCTAAGAGCTGGTCACCTTAATCCTGATGCTAAGAGGGTTTACTTGCAGTCCTGCTGTGTTGCTCTTGCACCTCATACTCATACCACATACATCTCAGTGAAATTACGGGGACACTCTGACCCATTTCAGGGCTTCCTTTGGTAGGATTATGAATCCATATTGATCCCAGATGCATTTTGTTTAACCTGACTCTTTCAGTGGCTCAACTCAAACCCATTTTCCAACAGGACGTGGAGAGAAGTAACAAACCTATGCTGTGGAGGTCCACCACACACTAATTGTTCAGCAGAAAGCTGGAATTACCTAAAGCTCTGCGTGCATTCTGATAAAGCACAACGCTGGAATCTGGAGTTCAATGACCACATCACATACTGTTTTTTAACACAGCAATGCTTTTAACCTTACACTTCAACTGTTTGTTTCATGGTCTGATGTTAAATTTAAATTTACCTCTGAATTTGCTTAGTCCCTTCCCTTTGTTTCCCCCCTTGCCTTCACAAACAATGGCCTGATTCTTCAAACCAAGCCCTAGCCATTTATTCTGAAGCAATCTGTGAGATGGGATGTCCAGAAGAGGACAACGTGTCCTTCCATGCTCTGCTCTCAGAAGGGCTGGAAACCAGAGTTCTGCAGAGCCAGCACATCTCAGAAGAGAAATGACTGGAGCTGAGCAGGTGTCCCAGCCACGACACAACAACATCTTGTGCCTGCTTCAGCACCAGTGCTGCTGCAGTAACCACTGGCATTAGAACAAGCAGTTATTAGCCACAGAACCCCAGCACATCAGAGACCTCACCTGCTACCTACAGAAGGTGCCACAACCCAGGAGGTTCCCATAATCAACCTGAACTCACCCATCTCATCTCATTCATCTCTTGCAATGTTAGCCTGTTAACAGCTTTCACAAAACATGGTAACAACTCTAACTGTAGAATTATTTGCAACTTGCTATAGAACAGGCACAGGCTCAGACGTTCTGCTTATATGGCTAAAAATCTGATTCACAGGGACAGAAATGAAATACAGACCACCTAGAGAAGAAGACATATATCCAGAGGCAATACAACACGTATTATTAGATTCATCTACTTCATGCAAGACCCAACGGCTCTGCAACCAGGTCCGACAAGACAAAAGTAATTAACAATCGGCTTTACTCACTGGGGGAGTGTATATTTAACATCTCAGGCCCTCGAGGGCTCAATATTGCAAGCTTCTTGAAACTTAAGAAAAATAACCTGTATCACACAACCTGCTGGACAGTTACAATTAGTATTTCTTCTTAAGCCCGTGTTTTATATTGTTAATTGGATTAATTCCTTCTTGATACCCTGGGCTATGTTCGACCTTTCTCCCATTATTAAATAAACCTTTTTAGCCACTCACAAACCTGTAAAGCTGTTGCTACGTTCGTTTTTAGTGACTTGGAACATTCTGTTCTCTCTCATATTTCAGCCCCAATGAAAAACTCTCCTTGAAAATTCAGTAAAGCATCTGAACAGCACGTTCACATGAAGCACTTCACTGCTGGAGTCTAAGTAAGCTTTTGTTCGGCCATCTCCAGTTGGCTTTGGACTGAGGTGTTGCCTTTTCTCTCTCCTGAGCACCAAAAGCATCGAAGCAAGCCCTTGGCCACTGCTTGGTGGAAATTACCCACCTCAAGTAAATTCATTTCCTGTTCTCGGCCTCTTCGGGCTGAGTTCAGGCACCCTGGTTTGGACGCCCACACTCTTGCATACTCTGCTCCATGTGCCAGGCTGTTGTAATGACAATGCCTGTGACACTTTAGTTTGACAGCTACCCTCAGACATTAGCAAAATCTCCAGGGTACCAGCAGCCTTCTGGGCACCCAGTGCAGTCAAGGAGCACATAGGTGATAGGCTGCAGCTTCCCTGTGATCCAGAGAGGGTTGTTTTCTCCTTGGCTGCTTCAGGACAGGGGCAGCAGGCAGCTCACGAGTCCATTGGGGAATCTTCATCAAGGCTCATTCCACAGATCACAATCTAGTATCTCCTTTTGACAACATGACCCTTTCCAGGTACCAGCCACAAAGAGATTACCTAACTCCCTCAGGGAAAACCCCTGAATTTACATATGGCCATAAGCAGAAAAATTGGTGCTGCTAAATCATTTGTTTCCTACTTTCCAAAGCCTGGAGGGGGAGATGCTTGTCAATTTTCATCCTCTCTTTGAAATCCCTTCAGCTCAAAGAGAATTTCCTATCTTTAAAATCAAAGACTCTAAGAAATCCTGTCTCTCCCCATGATCAAGTCACAATAAATAAGCCAATGTGCTCACAGGCAGCACAGACCTGCAAAACAACTCGGGCTGTAAAACACAAGGAAAACAGCTGGAAGGCTGCAGTAGCCGTTTTCTGCATTGCTCAATGGTTTCCTTTCTAAAGTTTGGTATTTTATGAATACTCTAGATAGTTTGGCTTCCCTGTGTCCCTGACTGCTCACACAAAGCCAGTGTGCTTGGAAGTGTCAGCAAGCATCCTCACTCCTGCCTCCTACCCAGGGGTGAAGAGAAGTGGCTGGGTGGG